GTCTTTCAGTTAGCATCAATATGTATCAAAGCCAGCTTATTTACACCTGCATTTTAATTACCTAGTGCAGTAGTTCTCCTAAAACACGAATGCCTTTTTATATAGGTGAGAAATACTACACTGTTTTCAGAGAGTTAGTCTACCCTTAGAAAGTACATATATATTTGGTACAGATATACTCTGTGAAGATCTTCAAAAAATATTTTTTCTGCTCTATAAATGCACAAGGGAAAATATTAGCTTACTTTAGAAAGATCATTCTCTGAATCTTAATTTCTCAAACTCATGAAATATGCTTGTATGGCGAAAGAATACGATGACACAGCCTTCTAATGGAATACGAGTACTATGGAGCAACAGCCGTTACAAAGAAAGAAAATTAGCTCACACCCTTTAATCACCAGTAACAGCTCAAGAGGAACACAATCACCATTTAGAGATACTGTTCCCTCAGCTGCTAAGCCTTAAGCGAGGGTTCCGGTCACTCAGGTGCATTGCCTTCACCTCCAGTTGAGCTCCATGAGTTAGCAACACCTTCTCACCTGGTGCTCAACCATTGGTTCAGGCTATGACCTCACAATTCCACTGCAGTATTATAACGGGTGTCAAAATCAAGCACTATATAGAGAAATTGAGGACTTTTTCTTTTTCTGCTGGCTTTTGGCTGTAGGGCATCAATAGAGATCAGAAAAGCCAGTAATGTGCCTAGGTGACAAGAAGGCCTATGGTATCCTGGCTTGCATCAGAAATAGTGCAGCCAGCAGGAGCAGGGAAGTGATTGTTCATGTGTACTTGGCACCAGTGAGGCTGCATCTCATATATTATGTTTGGTTTTGGGCCCCTCACTACAAGAAAAATGGTGAGGCCCTGGAGCATATCCAGAGAAGGGTAGTAATGGTAGTAAGGGGATTGGGAACTGAGTTTGTTTAGTCTGGAGGACTCTCAAGGTGACTTTGTTGCTCTCTACAACTACCTGAAAGGAGATTGTGGTGAAATGAAGGTCAGTCTCTTTTACCAGATAGCTAGCACAGGACAAGGGGTAATAGCCTCTTGTTGCACTATGGGGAGGCTGCGATTAAATATTAAGAAAATTTTCTTGGAAAGACTGAGGCATTGGAACAGATTGCCTGAAGAGAATTTGTATTCTATGTGAATGTGCCACCATCCCTGGAGGTGTTCAAGAAGCTTGGAACTGTAGCACTGAGGGATGTGGTTCAGTGGACATGGTGTGATAATCTTCATGATCATTTTCAATCTTAATGATTATATGATTATATGATTGAAGGAGGGAAGATTTCGGTTGGATGTTAGGGGGAAGTTCTTTACAAGGAGAGTGGTTAGCCCTGGAATGGGCTGCCCAGGGAGGTTGTGGATGCCCCGTCCTTGGATGTGTTCAAGGCCAGGTTGGACGGGGTCCTGGGCAACCTGATCTGAATGTGTGTGTTTGGTGGCCCTGCTAGGCAGGGGGGTTGGAACTACATGATCCTTGAGGTCCCTTCCAACCCGGGTGATTCTGTGATTCTGTGATTCTGTGATTCTGTGATTATTATGATCAATCTTATGATTATACAATCTTCTCTAAAATGCTCATTTTATAGATCTTTCCCCAAAACTGAAGTTTCCCTGTATTACTGAAGTTTCATAGCTTAACTTCTTTCTTCAGAGGCACAAGACAAGAAAATACTGTTGGATTTTCTCTAATTTTATGTCACCATTTTGAGGTGGGATTAGTTATTTCTATGTAGACTATTCCAGGTGAGTGTGGCATTGCCTATGCAGGAGATTCTTCTTCTGTTTCATTTCCCAGCGTTTATGCATGCATCTATTGCCAACCCCAACATCTGGCTGGCAAATCATATACAGGATATAAGATCTCTCTTGGTATATAAATATTTCTTCTCATTGGAAAGTTTCATTTTGTTAAATTCTTTAGTAACAAACTTCGTTCTTCATTCGGAAAGTTTTTGGTTCTGATGAAGTTAGTAGTATACTTTTTTTTTTTAACTTCTTTTCATGCACTTGATTTCTTGTTGCTTAACCTTCTTCTAATTCACTGATACATTGCTGAATGAAAAGATAGCTTGTATGAAAACCTGAGGCACCTTGCTTTTGACCTTCTGTACTGATGAAAATTGACTACATTTTCCCTCCTTTTCTTTCCCCTTACTACATTCATATACATGACTGTATAGCACTCTCAAACAATAACAGCTTAATCAGCTTAATTTGTTTACTTCCTTTTTCAGAGACCTTGTTAATGTGTCTTTGAAGGGCTAAATAAACTGTCACCAGGATAATATTTTCACTTTTACAATTAGGAAGAATTCTAATTCATTAGAGAGAATTTACCTTTGCAGAACTCAGTCTGAGTAGCCTTTCTCATATGACCGTTTTCAAATTGTTTTATTGTTCCACTTTTAAATATTATTATAACCAACTTATTAGCTTCTAAATATGCCTGTGGCTTACTTGTCAGAGAGTCTCTGAATGATTCAGGGAATCATTCTGAAATATAAAGCAGAATATTTTCTACTTTCAAGTAATCTAATATAGTATGCCTTTTTAATCAGACTGTATAATTTTTGGCGTTTCTGGTGCTTATCTCTCAAGTTTTTTTATAGCTTTGCAATGTTATATTTTAATTACTGAACAGAGTGTAGCAACAACAAATGAAAGTAAGTGTGGAGGGCAAACCTGCATTTCATTTTTTCTTTTCCTGATGTTAGAGACCTGTATAAATTGTTAGATGTGTCAGCAGATAATTACATTCAGACTTGACCTCACGTAGCATATAAAATCATCTGAGTAAAAGTAAATAGCTGAAAATCTGAGAGCAGAACACTGGTTCAAAGAGAAAAAATATCCCTGTAAAACATCTGAAAGAAATACCAGTGTTGCACCACTCAAGCAATCCTTCATGGGGAGGGAAAAAAAAAAAAAAAAAAATGCTACTAACAAGCTATTGCAATGATGAACTTAAGTATGTATAATGCCATAAAACTAATTTGTAAGTGATTTAGTGCTTGCATCACAGTGCCATCTTGTTTCAGTTGTGTAATACTTCTGTGATATCAATCACAGGAAGAAAGACTGTCTTTTCAAATGCCATTGTTGCATATCTATCAGCAAAGGAATACAAGTGAAAGGTGAAAAACTCTGAGTCCAATACCCTGTGATTCTTCCTGAGATGGCATTACATGCATCAGAATGTTTACAAAGACACATTATACATTAACTGATGTTAATGCATAATGTATTAATATAAGAATATATAACGTATATATATACATATGTTTAGGTAAAATGTCTGAAATTTTGAAAGCAAAATATAATCCAATTATATCAAATATAAGGAACTTTCTAGCAAGTACTGCATGCTATTTTATTGAGTTCTCCACAGATACTTCATAAGCAATGAAAGCATTGTGATACTTCAAATGATAATACTTATTTTAGATTTGAGACAATTAAAGATTCTGACAAAAAAACAAGAGCTGTTTCTCTTAGCAAAACCAGCAGCAAGTACGGCCTCTTACAGAGTAGTGTCACATCCATCATACAGCTAGGTAAGGATTGTTTGGTGTGCTGAAAATGATACCTAGTGTGACCCATCTCATAATTACCACCTCAGAAGGTTTCCTGAGACTGATGTACAAACTCTTTCTCTAGACTAAGTACATAGAATCAAGCTTCACTGTTAGATAGACTTTTTGAAGAAGAAAATTGTCATACATATTGTGTATACTGTTTAAATCAGCTATTTCTTCTGTGGAAGTGAATTTTAATGCTGAAAGCCTTTTTTTTTCTTTTTTCTTTTTTCTTTTTTCTTTTTTTTTCCCCAAAAGGAATCACTGAGCAATTATAGATTTTCTCTAGAAAATCTAGGAGTACAACAGTTGAAAAAAAAATCAAACCTATTATTTTTCCTGTGAACTGCCATGTTCACGGATCTAACATAATAACACATTCGTCCACTGATAATGAAAAAATAGTTTGAAGAAAGAGGAGATAAAGTAAGGAAACATATAGGGAGTGAAAATAACTGTGTAATATTCACATCTTGTCAGCTAGACTGAAATGAACATGATCCACATAGGCAAAATACATACTTATGTAAATTCTGCCAGAAAGGCTTGACAAGGTTCATTGCTTCAAAGATGCTGGAAAATAATGATTTTGTTTTACTATTTATTCATCAGTTTTGATCCTGCACCCATGACTCGGTCGTGGTCTGTCTGTTGAACAATCAGTGAAACATATTGCAGCTTCTATGAGTACTTCAAGCCCATCACTAGCAGTAGCTGATGGCTGTAAACTAATCCCATTATTCAGAAGTTCCTAAAGCTAATCTTCTACTACCAAGTCTCAAATCTCAAGGTTTAAAACTAAGGCTTTTTTAAAATGGTACCTATCTCATACTGTCCTGGGAAGGGCCAGATGAAGCCAGTCTTACATTCTACATCAGATCTGGCAGATCTGACATGGACATGACTTGTCCTCAGTGGAATCAATATCCCATCTTCATATTTGTTTTTTTTTTCTAGTTGATCAAGAATCAAGATTAATAGACTTAAAGAGGTAAAGAACAACTACAAATTTGGGGAATATAAGAGATGCATTTGATTTTAAACTGAAAAAATATTGTAAGTCTTGGTAATTGACTAAGCATTTTTGGTGTTAACAGTGCTTGAGAAATTCCACTTTAGTCTCCAAATGTCAGCAATAATATTTGGTAATAATCAGGCAGCTCCTGGAGTTTGAACCTTAGAGGAGTCACAGTCCTCATGCTCCGGTAAGCACCACATAAACTAGCATTCAATGCATTTCTCAAAACTTATCATTGTGAGACTATACAATAAAAAAAAAAAAAAAAAGAAAAAAAAAAAAAAGAAACAAAAGGAAGATAAACAGACTTTGGTTAAAATATTGAAGTCTTGTGAATATTGTATTGTGTGGTGTAAGAACTCTGAATGCTAAGCTTGCATAAGTGAGCTACCACTATGGACCATCCTGCAACGTATGTATGGATCCTTAGGCAGACATTTGATGCTAACAGCAACTCTGGGAAAGCAGATTTTGTCTCAGACACTTTGCTGATAATTGCAAAACTGGAAGGTGACATGGTAAAAGATATGTGCAAGAAGTTGTCTTGTTGCTCTGTAATCTCCAGCTACTCCTTTGATAACATGCTTCACATCTGTTGTGGCCAATGGCACACTATTTCTATGCATATCAGCCTTTTAAACTTACCTAATCTGCCTGGAATTTTCAGCAGCTATCACAAGTTGGTTGGAGGTCCTCTGGGCCCATTCATATTGTCTTTTCTGACCAGTAATGGAGATTTGTGGGCAGAAAAAGCAAGGATGTTAATTTGAGGATACAAGGGATATATATTATAATATATATATATATAGTCTTGGCCTCCTTGGTAGACTGCTAGCCAGCAGTATCAATCATCTGAATAATGTCATGATGATCTGATTTATATAGATTACCATCACTTTAACAGTGCTGAAGAGCAGAGTTGAGCACAAAGACTTTCCAGCCTTGACAGGTCACTTGGTTCATGAATGCAGATGTATTTTTAGAGTGGACTGTAAAAGTTTAAATCAGGTCCCTGCCCACTGCAACTGACTTGAAGCCAATGGGTGTAGATCTTCTAGAAGAGATAATCAGACTCCTTAAGGATTATTCGTTTGTTTTTTATTTATTGTTTTATTATAATCATATCTCCTCATTTGTGGATTTTCATATGTTAACTGAGTAGATGAAATACCCTTTACTTTTTAATTTTAAATACTTCTAACAGGCTCTTATTTCTGCAATGAGTTATTTAATTTTCTATTTCTTTTAAGCTTACCTGAAGGGACCTTTATGAATTTCAAAATAAGGTTTCTTTACAATATTAAGTAAATCTAAGACTGAATTCTAACTCATATGATGAATTTGAGGATATTTCAAAACACCAAAGTTAACAATTATGATGATCCCAGCTGACTGGATAGCTAACCATTAGAAAGTTAGAACTGGTGAATCTGAGTTTTGCTCAATATCTATTCTATCTATTGATAGAAAGATAGATAGAAATAGATAGATATTTTCTATAATATCTATTTTTATCAGTATCTATTCACAGCAGAAGCTTAGTTTGTTTTGGCATATGGGAACGTTGCAGATTTCTTCTCTATCTATGTATAATTTCTTCTAAAGACTAGAAAAGTGATGGGGAGGCACTGATGCCATCTCCTCTGTAGTAATTTCTCCATAATCAAAGAAACGTATTTGTATCAGTAGTCAGCATATTCGCATTTTTTTGGTTGTCTTTAAAGACCTTTAAAAATCTTTATTAAAAAAGATGCATGTGAAACAGTTTGTCATTTCTCTGGTTTGTATTTAGGTAAAAGAAATTTTGTTATGCAGTATACGAATTGAAGATCAACAGTGTTCTGGCAAACAATTTCAACTTTAGTGTACCTGTTCTCTATATTCAAGCAAATTAGTAGGCATCTTTCAAAATAAATTATATAAAATATTAAATTTTATTTTCCAGGTAAAAAAGGTGCTCAAGGAATGGTTTGAATGTTGTGTTGAGGGATGCTTTAGTGAGAACTATTGGTGATAGGTGGCTGGTTGGACTGGATGATCTTGTTGGTCTTTTCCAACCTTGGTGTTTCTGTGATTCTGTGAAAATAGAAAAAGAAGCAAGGCTACCTATTTAATTTACTTTCATTTAAGAACCAATGAGAGGCTTTGTCTCTTAAAATGTTTCATTCTCTGGCATCAAGGTAAATATTAAACTATTTATATGATGTTATTCAACTATGCAGATACAGACGGTATTATTTGCAATAAAATAGAACTAAAAACAAAGGTCAGAATACCCACCAGACAGCTGTGTTCATTCCCAAATTGCTGTAAATTTCAGACATAAGTTTCCATAATATGAAACAGACTTTCTCATTTCCTACTGTGGTCTTCTAACACAAGGAATTGAAAAAATACACAGAATGTATTTCTATTCTACAGGAAGCTCAGATTGTTAATGTGTTTTCATTCTAGATCAACTAAAAACAACAAACATTTTGAATTTTCTACAAAATCATGTGTATATGTGTTTGTACGTGTGCTTGTGTATATTCATTTAAAAACCTACTTTTCCACAAAGCAGAACATCTTTGTGTCAATACTGATGTAATAAAATGCAAGAGTATGATGTGTATTTGAATAAATGCTTAGTGAGCGATGTTTGTCTGAATAAGAGGAATGATAATAGTTTATGTGGAAAAAAGATATTTGAACCATACAGAAAATAGAACTACACCAAAGTTGTTTAGTATTAGCAGTACTGAAACAAAGTGAAAATGCTAACATTTTTGTCTTACTATTATTATTATTGTCTATTGAAAGTATTTGGGGAAATTAGCCCATTCCTGTGAAATATCTTACTCTCAACAACCCATATATTCCAAAATCACATTTTTTTATATGTTCTACGATGATATTTAATCACCAGACTGTACCACTGGCTCTCATTGACAAAGGTTCTCAAACAAAGGTCCTCATCTTGTTATTATATGCACTCATTATTTCTGTGCTACCTTTGTTATCCAGCTCTATTCTGAGGCTGCCCATCACCTCAGAGCAGAACTGATAATGAAGGTAGGGAGAAGTGCCACCAACAGTCCCACAGCTCTGCTATACAGGCTATCCATAAAAGGTGTTTTATTGTTCTGCAGCATGCATGCAAAATGTAGTTTTCGTAAAGTCAGACAATCTTTCGTGTTCAAAACTGACAAAATTCCTGAGGGGTTCACATTTGTAACACTACCCTTGTCAGACTCAATCAGATCTTGTAACAGCCATCTTTATTTCAGCTGCATAGTCTAGAAAAAAGCACTCTTTAGCTATCTAAAGAACATCTGCTTGTAAAACATGGTATCTTAGGACCTGATGCACAATGATGCACAAAGCAGACACTGAGAGCAGCCTCTGTATTTTGTAAAGAAGAAGCATTGTCACTCAAACCAATGCACAATACCCTATTGATCTAAATGTAAAATTATTTTCAGAGAATGCACTACACAGACTGGGTTAGCTGGTAGGTGACAGTAGCTATTCTCTGATGTGAAACATGCATAAGATTTAAAGTGGAAAATGAATTTAATTTTACAGTAGAAGTTTTACCTCAGAAAGAAAGGAGGTGTGCTCCTCTGAAGTTTCTCATTGCAAACATGATAGTCATAACTACATCAAGATCTAATCCCTTTATTTACTATGCAATCTTCAATATAATCATCTTTGGCCAAAATTCATGTCCAGGTTCTGATTGGGAAAGTGGATGTATTTATTTGGTCAAGAAAAGTTTTGTGTTCACTAGACTTTGTCAACAGGTTTTTCTCCAGTTCTTATTGGCAACGTCATGGTTTATAAAGAGAACTAGTATTATTTTTAACTCCTGAGTATACCTGGTGGCCCACAACCTTAAAGCTAAATGAAGCTAAAATGAAGTAAAAGAAATTATGTTGAAGTAGAAATTTTTAAAATGTTTCACAGAAAGCTAGAGTTGGAAATTAGATGAGACAACGTTATGTCACAGAATAGTACACTGAAACAATTCACATAAATGGGGAAAAAAAATCAAATAAAATCAAAGTAAAAGATTTAAACACAAATCCTAACTAGGAATGCACTTAGAGTGCTTTTAAATAGCTCATACTTTCCTAGCTCTATGACTTGGGCATTTGGTTTGACGTGCAAAGAAAGCATCGCTCATTGCCTGCAAGCAGTATGCTGCATATCAAAACGTGGGGTTAGCTTTGGCTGAAGAAAATCATATGTTAAGACTGAAGCTGACAGGATGAGAAAAGGGAACTTTACTCTTAGCACAGAGCTTATTCACTGCTGTTGTTAGTGAATTAGCATGGGATGCAAACTGCTGGAGTAGAACAGAGAAAGTGCATTTCTAGGTTTAGTTCTGCTGAAAAAGCTCAGTTTTCTTAGTTGTGCACTGAATATTCTCAAAAAAATCAACTGATTAATCAGTCACAGCCTGAAGTACATCTCAGTATATGTAAAGACTCCAGAATTTAGCTCAGAATATTCACAGGCTTTTTAGTTGTTGACCTGGACTGGTATCACCATTTTTCATTTTTTTATCTCAGTACATTTTCCTGATGTGTTTGGTAATGGTAATGAACAGTATGACTCTGAAGTTCACGAAGGTTCTTTTCCTTTTCAACTGGTATGTGAAGTTATTCAATTTTTCTTTGTTTGAAGCCTTAATTTTTGTACTAATGAATGAGTATGGTTGCAAAACATCAGTGTAAAGCAGTTAAAATTAAATTCATAATGTTTACTATTTTGAGAGACAGTTTCTGCTGTGACTTCTCTCTTCCTACCTTCTTTCCCTCCCACCATCTTCCACCTCTACACATTGACTTGCCGAAACTGTATATTTGTGATGTGTGCATGGCATTTTTCCTGCTTCCAGATTTTGGCTTGAAATTTGATCAGTAGAAATAAAATGAATGTAATTAGTGAATTAGTCTGGCTAATTAAAAACATATTTTTATCACTTTATTATTTATTCCTTAAAAATACCAAGGTTAGCCTGATCTCCATAATCTGATTTGTTTGAGTACTTCCCTTTTGTGCTCCATTCCATGCTAAAAACAAAACAATACAAAAACAGAAGAACACGTGTATTTTTTCCCATTCTACTTACAGTTCGCCAGACTTCTATTAGCAACTATTTTTTATAGACTTTCTTCATCTCATAAAAAAAAAACTGAAACCCAAGCCATTTTAAATACTATTCTGTACTGTACGCATGCAACGTAAACAAGTTTGTAAAATGCAGATGACATAATTTAAGAAATCCAAAAATTAAGGAGTGTATTAGTTTTCTGTTTGTTTTTAGTGAAATTTCTAGAATTCACAAAATATGTATTAATAAAAATGATGTTTTGACATCTGATGGTTTGGTTTTTTGTCACTAAAGATTTCCTCTTGTTTCTTGAAATTTCTTATTTTTTCTCTATAATTTGTATACTTTTTCCAATTTTGTAAGACAGTTTAGGTCAGTTCTTGCTTAAGAGTTTGGTTTTATTTGCATTATTTTCTTCTGTTATCACCAAGAATATCTTAAAGTGCCCATACTGGATATTGTTTTTACAGCCCTTCTTTCCCCCTCAAATGTAGTCCAAGATACAATTTATTGACTTGAATGTTTAGAAAGTGCATTTTTGGAGGGACAGTGATTTTGCTCTGGGAAACTTAATGTGAAATATGTAATATTTTCTCTGCTTCTGGCTATTTGATCGTGGTCTTCTCTCCTCCCCACCTTCTGAGAAAGCAAACAGCACATAGCACAGTGAAAGAAGAATGTAGTATCTTAATATCACGTAGGATCAAAACCATTGCATAACATCCTGAAATAGAAAACATATAGGAAATTAAGGAAAATAGTGAATAAAAATGTGCATTTTTGATTTTTTCACTGGCTCCTAATTTTACTAAATTCCCCTTTTCAGAGCAAGTCATTTTCATCTATTTTTAATGCTTTGGAAGCTTAGTATCAAGACGTTTCTCACTCTTAAACATTTTCCTGGACGCAATAAGTCAGACCAGTTTTTTCCTATATGACTACACATACACACCTGTTGACGCTTCAGTGTAGGTGGCATTGATTTTGCCAGCTCAGGAAGACAAAGATTTTATTGTTCAAAAGTCCTCAAACAAGATCTATACCTTTTCTCAATCACACATAATTTACTGAAGTCATTTGGAAGACTTCCCATACATGCCAGTTAAGTATGAAAAATATTCAATAGATAAATTATTTATCTGCCTCAACATGCCATAGTTTACGTAAGAAAGAAAGAGAATATTCTGTTAATGTTTGAATTGAGGATGTATTGCTTGCTAGGCTGCTAGATTGCAAGCATGAACTATTGTCACGGAACAAAAGGCAGGAGAATTTTATATTTTAATAACAAATATCCTTTCTTCCATTCTTTAAAAGAAAGTGTGGGAGTACTGCCTTTATTTTTCACACATATATGAATTACTTCAACACAGTAAATGCTATCTTGAAATCCAACAATGAGAGGAGCAAAAAAGGCCAGGCAGAAGTAATATTTAATTACAGAAAGCACAGAAAGACAAGGGAAGGAAAATGAAGCTGCACTCAAAATGGTCATATACAATTTTTTTTTTTTTTTTTTTTTGCTTCAGTCAGATAAAAAAAATGCACCATTTACAAGATATGAAAAATTTTACATATGGCATATCACTATTTTTACTCTTTGTAGATAGAAACATGCCGAAAGTGACCTGGGAAAATGTTTACAATAACAAATGCAGTGAATACTTTAAAATGCTTTATATGAAATGCACTTTAAGAGGAGAATTATTGTGATTATAAATTTTTTTATTTAGTCATTTATGCCCTTTTAGAAAGGAAAAACATCCACATACCAAAACATTGTTATTAAAGAACCTACTGTATTCCACACACAAGCCAATATGTATTTTCATTTACAGTTTCAGCCCTAGTTATACAGAGCATGTTTTAAGACTCTGGAAATCCGCAACTGGGATTTTGTAGGAGATTAAGTACAATTCCTAGCCAATCAAAATCTATACTTTCTGGGGCATAAGAAAAAATAGTGCCTGATCAGAGTGTATAGTATCTGTTTTACTATTTGGAAAAATTCAAGTATATTTCATTAAATTTCAGTTCCAAATGACAGACTTCTACGATTTAAGTAAGGAAACCCCCTCTCACTACTTTTGATTAAAAGACCGAAAAAAACCAATCTTAGACTCCTCTGGATCTACTTACATCAGTCAACTATGGAGCTGATACAAAGACTCACCTGTTTAGATACCAGTTAGCCCAGCACAGTTCATCTGCAGACATGGATGTTTTTTTCCCGTTTCTCTGTAAAACAGCGTGTGCTGTTCTACCATGCTTCTTCCAACTATTCCTTCATGACAGGTCACAGGCCTGGATTGGTCTGATAAAAACTGAATGGCTTGTAGGAATGGCTGAAGACTATTTTCAACACATCCTCTGGAACCTCACTTCCTACTTGGAGATCTTAGGGTGTTCCATAGATTTAAACTCTCCTGTAAACTTGAAGTTTATTTTGAAAAAGCATGAGAGTAGAATAGCTAATAATGTAGCCTTGTTAGCCATAAAGAGAGCAAAAGAGGACCAGCTTACTAAAAAATCTTGACATAGATTGTCAACAAGGTTGAGAGGGACTGTAATTAGAAAAAATTACAGAGTGGGAGACACTTATCTGAGAAACAGATCTTGGAAACTTATATACATCATGCATTCTTTAAAAATAGGGACAAGAGTTCAGGTGCACATTTGAGCTGAAGCTGAGGACTTGTGAATAGGAAGATTATATATACAATCTGAGAATTTATACATTAAAATGTTCATAGAAAACTGTTACTCCATTATTTATTGTTTTTTTAATAAAAATTTCCTATCCTGATTAAATAGACAGTGCATTTGCTTGTTTTCTGATTACCTTGTATGGTGACCTGTTAAAAACACTCCCTTTAAACTGATGTCAGTTTTTAAATATTATACACAAACCAACTTACTACTCTTAAATTTCTCTTATATAGATCCATAGTAAACAGATCTAGCTACACAGAGATCAGGAAGGAACTGTGAATATTTATCTCTTATCAGAGACAGAGCTCCTGTCTCCAACCAAGAGATTTTACTCAATTAAAAATATTTTGCTCAATTAAAAATAAAAATAAAAACCTTTCTTTATTTTATTTTATTCAATCAACATAGCAAGTGAAGCATTAAAATTGTGAGGGGAGATACAGTCAACAGTGGGAATACCACTTATTGTTTAGAAGTGAGTTTATTTAACAACAAAAACCACACACATCATTTAATTCCCCTCATTAATCATTTATTGTGGATAAAAATCCTGCTAGCAACTAAAATTGAATTTGTAATGAAAAACTCTTGCTCTACAGAGTGCAGTAGGCAAAAACTACTGTAGAGAGATAAATGTAAACTATAGGTTAATGATAGAATCTCCACTTTATCACCTACTAACCATACCCACACCTGTTACTGTTGCAAACAAAAGTTTGTGATTCTGAGATGTATGCTTTCAAATTAAGTACAATACTTACACTAGTAAGAAGTATAACTGATGAGAAACAAGCATGCAGAAAACAAACAAAACCCTCTGCTAGATTGCTCCACTCAGGTATCAGGTTTTGTTTTTTTTTTTTTGGGGGGGGGGGGGTGTTGTGTTTTTTTTGTTTTTGTTTGTTTGTTTGTTTGTCTCTTTAATTGGGAATAAGCATAGAAAGATGGAAAATATCCAGTTTTCTGAATTATTTTTAAATTATTTTGGGGGTATTACAAATGAATGCAGACAAGATATTTTCATTCTATAACAGCCTAGACAGCAACTATCTAGCCAGTAAACTAAGTACTTCAGAATAGATAAGTGAAGAACAAAACTGGGAAGCAAACTCCTCTTGTACATGGTGGTTCCACCACCTTCATAGGCCGCTATCCAATGTACTTTTAAATGATCACGTTATGCCTTCCAGTGTACAAAAGACTAATTTAATTCCTGTGTCTAAGATCTTTGTTGAAAAGGAAAGGAAAGTAAAATCAACATGTTTATTTTGCTTTCCTTCTAAATTGTGATAATAATAGCAGAAGTAATCAGAGGTCCTGCAACCATGGTTACGCACTGTCAGGTGACATCAATGCGTTCCTCTTTGCTCCAGATGTAGGCATTGGTCTACATTCATTTCCTAGTCTACAGCTATTGCTGTTCGGGATCCCTAATGTGTATTTCCATGCTGTGGATTTGCTAGGGTGTTATTCAAAGGGAAGCAGCACCATCTATTGCAACCTGAAAACTTAGCTCTAGACAATATCAAGAACAGGGCTGGCCTGAGTTTAGTTTGAAACTACTACACTTATTTATCTTTAAAAGCTTCTTTTCCATCCCTCACTAGCTACTGATTATGGTTTGTATCTCATAAGGTACAGGGACATGGGTGTGTGACGTGTTCATAATAAAGATATGCATCTAAGAGAAGAAAAAACTATTTATGAACTAAGAAAATAATAACATTTGCCTAATCTTGAGTGACTGTTTCTTTAAATACTTGGCTGGAATTTTCTTTTTTGAAGTGAGAAGATAGTCAAAAGTTAAAAGTGTGTTTTATGCAGATGAGTGTCGCAAAATTTGCTTTCAGAAGCAGCGTTAATGTAGATGTGCAGTTCAGTATGTTCTAATAATGAAAGTGCTATTGTCATCCATCTATACTTCTGATTCTTCTCTTTTTCCAGACTGTCTACAAAGCCTGGCTCTGTTCCCAGTATTTTGAAGTCACACAGTTTCACTGCAGCAACAGAATTCCTTGCAAGCAATACTGTTTGGAGGTTCAAACAAGGTGTCCCTTTATATTACCAGACAATGATGATGTCATCTACGGAGGACTATCAAGTTTCATCTGTACAGGTATAGTATAGAAAAGCTAATTTCACTTTTTTTCATAAATATAAATGTGAAGGAGAATTTGAATATGTTTCCTCCTATCGTTTCAATTATGAGAAACAAGGTGTTCCTCGTAACAAAGAGGAGTTAACTAGATCAATCTATGCCTGTGACAAAGAGCAGTAGGATCCTGCCCCCCTCCCCCCACACACCTTGGCCCCACAAAATGGAAAGGAAGGAAGGAAAAAAAACTGTGGCAACGATCTATGGAGGAAAACCTATTTTACTAACTATGATATTGGAATGCAAGATAACACAATATAATACAATCTAATTGAAATTGAGACTAATAAATCAAATAAGATAGGAGAGAGAGTTCCTGAGACCTAGTCAAACCTGAAAAGCTTGGAACGGCTAGGAAAGCACCCTCCAGTACCCACTGCCAGGCAGTAAGAGAGCGCCCCACCTGGAAGGGCCAGATCCCGTGACTGCTGTAATGTGCAGGTACCTGGAATTGGAGCATTAACACCTTAACTCCCAGTGCACTACATGATGTTATGATGTGGAATACTGAAAAACAAAACATAAAATCATGACAACATCTCTGAGGTCCTAGGATTTGAGCCAAGATTTATTTTGCACATTTGTGTTTCAGCTTACCACACTCATTACCTTTATAAAACAATATTATTAGAATAAATTTGTTATGGTTATTTTTCATGCTATGCAATTTCACTGAGGTTATTTGTAGCTCGGTTTAATGTAAGAATCAGAAAAAGAAACAAACTCTGTTCTGAAATATTCAGAAAAAATGAGAAATATGAGGTCAGTTTTTACTATTTTCAACTTTCTTCACCTATATTCCTATGTCAGATAAACAAAGGATCTGAGATGCAGTAATAAAAAATGTGCAGTAGCTCTTGGCTGGTAAATATCTAAGGAAAGGCTTTTCGCTAGTGAAGAATTTTAAGAATCAGAGCTTTCCCTGTACAGCACTCATCTTTTGTTTTCTTCTTGACTCTAGTTAGATTCTGAGAAGATTTGAATTTTAAAAAATCATTGTTAATATAGGTGGGTGTCCATGGATTGTTTAATAAATCTTTTTTTTTTCCTTTAACATTCCTTTGACATTCCAGAGAGAATATGATAGGTAACAAGCAGGTATATAACAGGTACATCAGAATTATTTATTTATTTGTTTGTTTGTTTCGTCGGGCTCGATTGGGATTCATCACACTGAATTTCTGGTGCTAATAGATCAACTGAGAATTCAGAATCTATTCAGGCATCTTATTCCCACTTAATCAATCAAAAGACTTTTGGCAATAAAATCATTTGACATCTTGGTCTGAATACCTACAAATATACCGAATTAACTTTAAAGTAGGACTGCATTGCAAAGCTTGATGCACATTCTATGTACAATCTATGTACTAATCACAGCACAGTCAACTGATCAAAAGATGTGATTCTCCCACTATATTTATTGGTAGTGTTGCTTCAATTTGAATATCTTGTGCAGTTCTATGCCAAAAAAAAAAAAAAAAGAAATTGTTATTAGGATACTTTAAAATATCCAGAAGGCAACAAAGATGGTTGAAGGGCTGGAATTTATGTTCTGTGAAGAGAGGCTGAGGATACCTGGGTTGTCTGGACCAGAGAAGAATGAGAGACCTCATTTGTCTGTGCAGCTCTTTGAGGAGGGAAAGCACAGAGCGATATGTAGGGCTTTTCTCCCTGGTCACTAATGTAGCAGAACATACAGAAACAGCACAGAGCCTCACTAGAGGAGGTTCAAATTAGATATTAAGAAAATTTTCTTTACTGTGAGAGTGGTCAAGCACTGGCACAAGCTTCCTAGAGATGTGGTTAATGCTCCATGCCTGTCATTTTCCAAGTGGCATTTGCACAGTGGCCTCAGTAACATGCTTTAACCAGTTAGCCCTTCAGTGGTTAGGAAGTTGGTCTAAATGAAGATCTCTTCCAACTGAATTCTCCTCTCCTCTCCTCTCCTCTCCTCTCCTCTCCTCTCCTCTC